CATCAGAGCTGACTCCATGGGCCACAGGGAACTAGCTGCAAAATCCTCCCTTGAGCAAGAGGCAGAGGTACCTCCATGGGATCCCCCTCTCCTTCATCTTTCTATGGAAAGCAGGAGACCCCAGTGTATGAGCAACTTTTCTCTCTTCTTCCAAAGCTGCTGAGGCTCTGGCTGCTCTTTCCACCTACCTGCCCCATTCAAGGCCCCACCACGCTGCAGTACCCCTCACCAACCTCCTCCTGGCCCTGGTCACACAGGCTCCCATCTCCACAGGAAAAAGGAGTCGGATAAGGAGATCTGGACAGTAGTAGGGCTACGTCTGCTTCCTCTCCGCTCACAGGCCCAGGCAGAGCCCTGGGCATCCACCAACTCTCTGGGCCCCTTCCAGGGGTGGTGGGATCTGCCAGGGGGTTCTGCTCAGTGTTGCCTCCAGGGTCCTTCTTTACCATTTTTAAACATTCACTTCCTTTTTCTCTGTTTTCAGGTTTTGCCAGTCACAATTACTTGGTTTCCTTCCAGGTTTCATCTCCTTTACTGCCATCCACAGTGCAGAAGAACAGACAGAGACACCAAGCAAAAGAAGGTGACCGCTGTCCAAACATGCAGGGTTGGGATTAGCAAAGCTACAGCCCACCTGGACTTCAGTCTGACAAGGGATGTGAAGGGCAACAAGGAAGGTTCCTACAGGTATGTTTTGGGTTTGTGTGGTGGGGTTTTGGTAGCAGGGGAGGGGGCTGCAGGGGTGGCTCCTACGAGAAACTGCTAGAAGCCTCTCCAGCTCCAAGACAGACCCACATCTGGCCAAGGCTGAGCCCATCAGTGGTGGTGGTAGCACCTCTGGGATGACAGATTTAAGAAGGGGAAACCTGCAGCAGGGGAGGAGATTGGAGTGTGAGAAAAACACCTATCCAGACAGCAAGGCCAGTGAAGAAGGAGGGGGAATATGTGCACCAGGGGAGGTGGTGCCCCTGCAGACAGCCAGAGCTCTTCTGGAGACCAGAATCTGGCACAGCATCTCCTGAAGGGACAGACTTGCATCCTCTCCCCATCCAAACACACACTGAGATGCTCACACTCCTCAGAACACCCCATGCCTGGGCTGAAGCCTTCCAGTTCATCATGCATGGTGTGGATTGTACATTTCCCTCACCAAACAATTGTTTTCTGTTTTCTTGTGCTGCTCAACTCTGAGCAGGTATGATGGTTTTGGCTGGGATAGAGTTAATTTTCTTCATAGTAGCTAATATGGGGCTGTGTTTTAGATTTGTGCTGAAAAGAGTGCTGACAATGCAGGGATGTTTTCGTTACTGCTGAGCAGTGCTTACACAGAGTCAAGGCCTTTTCTGCTTCTCAGTCCACCCCACCAACGAGTAGGCTGGGGGGGGCACAACAAGTTGGGAGGAGACACAGCTGGGACAGCTGACCCCAACTGACCACAGGGATATTCCAGACCATATGACGTCATGCTCAGCGTATAAAGCTGGGGGAAGAAGGAAGGGGGGGGACGTTCAGAGTGATGGCATTTGTCTTACCAAGTAACTGTTAGGCGTGATAGAGCCCTGCTTTCCTGAAGATGGCTGAACACCTGCCTGCCAATGGGAAGTGCTGAATGAATTCCTTGTTTTGTTTTGCTTGTGTGCACAGCTTTTGCTTTACCTATTAAACTGTCTTTACCTCAACCCACAAGTTTTCTCACTTTTACCCTTCTGATTCTCTCCCCCATCCCTCCAGGGAGGACTGAGCGAGCGGCTGTGTGGGGCTTAGTTGCTAGCTGGGGTTAAACCACAACAGCAGGGTACAAATACATGCCAATGAATTAATAATGGTTATGTTTGCTTCACATTCCCCCAGTTTCACATAAGAAGCCTCCCTTCTCCTTGAGACCTGTGCTCCGCAGAGCCTGTGTTGCACTCCTGTGTAAAAGCTGCCCTGGCATGGGGAGACATGGGCTGAAATCCAGCCATACCTCTGGAGACCTTGCCCCAGTGCACTTCTGGGGAAAACACAACATGAAAATCTTCCAAAGCACTTCTAAGCACTGTTTTCTATCGTTCATAGGCAGGTTTCCAAACTCTGCCTATACCTCACCTGCCACTCTGAAAAGCACTTCAGATGTTCAGGTGATCCAGCCTGAGAAGTTGGATTCTCTTCCTCCCCTGTCTTTATTGACAGGGAATCAAGAGAATTTACAGTTCAAAAGTCTTTTCTGAGGTCCTAATCTCTTGAAAGTTAGTGATAATTTGAAATGCAGAGGGACCAACAGAATAAAATAAATTTACCCCTCATTCCTTCT